AGAGAGAGAGAGAGAGAGAGAGAGAGAGAGAGAGAGAGAGAGAGAGAGAGAGAGAGAGAGAGAGAGAGAGAGAGGTTTTCCTATTGGCTACTGGGAGGTGGTTTCGAACAGGGGCAATGAACGGCTTCTTGGGAGGTATGATTAATTGCCGGAGGTAGGATATGGGCAAAACCAGATGGCGAGCCGTTTGTCTGGTCGGCATCCACAGTGCGTATATGGATGTACGCCACGTGGCAGACGTTTGTATTTTTCTCGTCCGTCCACGTCATTAACTCAAGACCAAAGATTTTGCCAAGTGGAGTCTAACGTCATTCCTTTTCCTTCTGGATCTGATATAAATGGGCGGTGACGATCTGATCAGCAAATGATTTTTGTTAGCAAGACAAGTGCTTGTGAGAGGCTTCGATCTCGCGCCCTCCCGTGGGTCATTTCGTTCGCGGATAGCGTTTGTCAATCCCCAGTTGCGCTAGCTCGGGAACGCTCATCATCTCTCATGCTTAGGAAGTGGTTGGTGGTGAAGGAGGAGGGGGAGGAGGAGGAGGAGGGGGAAGACGAGGAGGAAGAGGGGGAGGAGAGGATTTCTTTATGATTATCGTTCGCTCATCCCTTCTCTGGACATCTTCCCCCTCCGTTTACTTTCTCTTCCTCCGTCGTCTTCCTCTTCTATCTTCTGCCCCCATCTTCCCCGCGTCGTCTTCGTGTTCCTCATCAACCTCCTCCTCTTTCTCTTTGCATGTGTCACAATGGTTTGCGAAAAAGATCTTTTCCGTCTCTATGATCGAATCCGGCAGGCGGCCTATTCCAACAGCTCGAATTTCTTGCATATATTCGTCTGTGCTTCGGACTGCGACTCTGTTTGCGCGCTGAGGACAATGACAGTGAGTGAAACCACCACATTTTTCTCCCATATACCTCCTTTCTCCCCCTCGCCCACTTTTTTTTTTTGTTATGGTAATGGAAAATCATCAAGGAGCGAACTCATTTTTCGTAAACTACGCTTTCCCTTCACCTTGATTTTCTGAGAAGCGGATTTCGCTTCTTACACACTTCGTACACACTTCCACATCCTTATGCTTTTCTGAGAAGCGGATTTCGCTTCCCCGGACATGTTCTTCGATGGCAGAGCTCTTGCCTTTCGTGGAAGCGATGGAATCTTTTTCTTTCCGTGGGAAAACAAAAAAGCTGAGAGGTTCGGTCGGGCATCGTCTTTTGGCTTTCTTTGTGGTGTGTGTGTGTGTGTCCCCCGGCTTCTGTGTGTACCTGCGTGTGTGTTGTGTGAGTGCGTGTGGGTGTGGGTGTGTGGGTATGTTGCAGATTTTTTGAGGATTTGAAGGCGTTGGAATGGGGAGGAGATGGGGTTGTAGAGGGGCCTAGATGC